GTAAACCCAGATGTTCCACAACGCTGCAGAACCCGCTGGATCGTCCTCACGGACGGCCTTGATGCCGAACTTCGTCTTGAGCTCCGCAGCAAAGAACTCACCTGTCGCCGCGGCACGCACAACCTGCCGCAGCTCTCGTTCCGTCAGTGCCGGTTGCCGCCCAGCCCTTCGCTCTCCACCCCTGTCTTCCTTCCGTCCCCGCTCCGCCTTGACTGCGTTCCGGACGGACGTACGGGACCGACCTGGCTTCCTAGCGATCTCGTGCAGAGAGACGCCTCCGTCGTGGAGACCGACGATAAACCAGTACTCTTGTTGGGAGAGGGTCTTGCCGTGGCCCATTAGAAAATGAAAGGCTCACAGCCTCCGTAGCGTCTAGCTACCCGCTCATTTCCGCCAACCATCTACTTATTTTGACCATCACTCTTTTAATATAGAAATTTGTAAGGTCTGTTCATAAAAGTGTTTTTTCGTCATAAAAAGGATGTGGTCTTAATAATTTGACGCTGATGTCCAAACCTTGAATTTGTATACCAGCCCTGTCAGATACATAGAAATCTAAGCTGTTAACACAAGTGGCACCTCTGTAAGCCTAATAGAGAGAACATATCAAAGTAGCAGCTCTCAACTCAGGCTAGAAGCCGAGATATTGTCAGAATTGTCCCGCCAAATCGGGGGTCTTAATGATTTGGCGGGCACTGTACTTGTATTATTAATAATACATGTAGTACTTCAAAAAGCAGATTTGCTGAAATTGAAACATTGAGGTGTGATTCGTCGAAAGTATCCGTGCTGTCACAATTCGTGGACACACAATTGCGGGACAGTTTGTTAATATAGGAATGAGTATACTACACCATAAAAATGCCCAGCATATATGTATGGCAATATCGCACTGATAGAGCGCAGCTACCTAAATGATAAATTTGTGGCAGAGGGTTTTGCTGTGCACGCACCTGGCACGCGAAATCTGCATTCTGGCTGCAACATTATCAAAATGAGTTTGATCATACTAACACGCGGCCACCAGAATTCGTTACAAAACAAAATGGCTACATATTCAAGTATTACCTGTACAGTACAGAAAAATCCTCAAGGGCAAGTACACTGTACTTGCCCTTGAGGATTTTTCTTCAAGTGTATGCTGATCACCGCGATCCAGCTGTTGGCTGTGCAATGGTTTCAGAGCATTGCTTTACATGTAAATCTCCGGCATTGCAAAATTCGATTGAAAACGATGTTTAGCGAAATCACTGTACTTGTTTGGTACCATCTCTTGCAAACAAATCATTGAAGATGCATTGATGAAACATCATGAAAATGAAATATATCGTAATTAAAGTATGCTGGATCATTACGAAACGCACAGTTTGTCGTATGTTTTTATTGACGGCCTCAGATTTAGTTGTATCTTTTGCCAAGAGGGCACAGGGAATTAAAGCTTTAGTATTACTAGGTGGCCAGACAAGATTTGTAAGTTGTCCTTAAATAAGAAAATGAATTTCTCTTTCCTTGTCTGAAGATATCACCAAAAGTAGAGAGTTGGGCATATTTGAGGGGGAGGGTCTCCTTGGCAGACCCTCCCTCCGCCCCTGCCTCGGATACCATTAGCTTGACACTTGCTTTTGTCGTCTTTGTGCTTGCCTCGTTTTGCGAAGATAATCGTACTTTTTTTAGTTTTGCACTCTACTACGGTAGTCGGTACGAGTTTAATGTATGTTATCCATATTGCAAGTACATTCGCAAAACCAGTTGATAATGAAGACTCTACTGGCCTGGCTATGCTGAGTAGGACTCGGAGTCTTGACTGTGAGTAAGACTTGACACCCCAGCGTGTCCAGTAAATCACCATCTTGGCGACCTCGTTTATTAAGTGTTGACGCGGTACCTCCAAGCATAATGCAAATATATCCATATCATCACATGTGCTCATTTTCTAATTAACCCGATAGCCAACAAGACATTTTCGCATTTTTAGCATGCGGTATCAAGCTCTTGAGTCGCCAAATCTCCGGCAAAACCCTCGCAAGCTTCAGCATTCCGTCCATACTCGACTAAATGAACTCGAGCCTCGTTTATCATGGTTCTACGTTCGTCTCCTGCTATTCACGGGTGTGAGCTGGGCTATTCAGGCGGCGGAACTTGCCCTTCTCGTCTACACGCGAGGGCTCGTTGCAAACGATATCGGAATGGGTACACAGGTCCTCAAAGTCCTTGGGGCCAGTCTCTTTATAGGATCAATTGCTGGAGGCCCAATCTTTGGTCACGTTGCCGACCACTTTGGCCGTCGAATAGCAATTATGATTGCGATGGTTTTCTCGTTGGGAGGCCTTGCAGTATCAGCCCGTGCGAGCGCCGAGTACATGCTGCTTATCGGTCGCGTATTTACTGGTGTTGGCTTCGGTGGACAGCTCGCTTCGACAGTAATTCTTGTTCAAGAGTTAGCTCCTCATTCTATGAGTGGCCGCTTGGTGTCGTTGCTTGAAGCTTTCACGGGTGTTGGTGGGTTGTTCGGTGTGGTTTTGGCTTTTGCCGTGGCGCCACGTTTGGAATGGCGCACAACGTACCTAGCAACGTGCGGACTTGTGCTGTTCGCAGTTGTGCTGCGCTACAGTGTTCCAGAGTCGCCGCGTTGGCTTGCTAGCGTCGGGCGCATGGACGAAGCTTGTGCTATTGTGGAAAAGATCGAGCATTCGCACGGTAATACCCAGAAGACGGAGCTCAACTTTATGTCTGCTCTGGAATCTCCATCGTCGTCAGTGACCAAGCCTTCGTTCCTCAAGCGGCTGATCCGCACGTCGGCTGTGTGGTTGCTGTGGATTGCTATGACCCTGTCATCGTACACACTGGGCATCTACATTCCGACGCTTATCAGTCTCAGCGGATACAACTTATTCGAGAACTGGAGTACGATTGGAGCGCTGAAAATCGCTCAAACAGTTGGTTCTGTCGCCGCAGCGATAGGATTCGACACTTTCGGATTTCACCGGTGCTTCGCTGCGTTCGCAACACTGGCAGCTATTTTCTCGGTTGTGTTGAGCTACGTGACTTGGTCACGTGCGGTGGTCATTGCCGTCACTTTTGTTGTGACTGCACTACTGTCAGCGTGCTGGAGTTGTGTCCTGGCCTACACTCCAGGACACTTCAACACAACCCATCGCGGACGAGGAATCGGGTACGCTGTTGGTGTTAGTCGTATGGCAGCCGTCGGAGGAAGCTACCTGTACCCTCACATGTTCAACGTGTGGGTTCTGTCCGTGCCTGTGCTGTGTTGGGTCTTTGGTGGTGCATTGACGATAGTCGCAATGAGTGTGTCTCGCTTCACTTACCAGTCGCTTGGCCAAGATGACGATACAGATTCGAGCGCATGGACATCGGTAGCTGATTTTGAGAATGGCATGTCTACATAGTGCTAGTGAAGGGGTCACAGAAAGAAGGTAATGTGAATTAGAAATAATGTAGTGTTTCAGTAAAAAAAAATAGCTGAGCAATTTGAATAAAACAGTCAAAACAATCCATTTAAAAAAACAATTTTTGACTGAATTCAGCACATCGCTCGCTACAAAGTTATATTTGTTTCTGTTAAAATAAAAATCTGAAAAAATAAACTTGTTAGGAAACCTACAACTTTATCACTTTTAAAACGTTGTAGAATTGCTTTCTAAGAACAATTAAGTCGAATTGACAAAAACATTTTTTGTGTTTTCATAGCTTTGAAAAAGCAAAAGTTTCTTTTAAAAACGTAAAATGTAAACTTGAATGAAATGTTTTCACAATGAGAACTGAGCTTACTCGAAAGATTATTTTCCATGATAGAACTACCGCTTCTGGTGATTCACGAAGCGCATGGCTAGAAGCGTGAGCACGCGGAAGAAGACCAGGAACGCGAGCACGATGGCACAGTTGCGCCAGATCTGACTGTGCTTCATTAGGAAGACGTCCTCCAAGTAATCCTTCACCGTGAGACCCGAAGGAAGAGACGGCGGCACGTTCGTCATTTGCTCACACCCGACTTCGCTTCCATCGCCGTCGCTAGGACAGTTGCCGAACACAATCGTGGACATGGCCGCCATCGTGTACTTCTGCGGAGTTATGTGGTACAGCCACTTGTAGCCCGTCGGGAGGTCACCGGCCGGAGGACTGAAGCCCATGAACAGGAGACAGATCAGAGCCAAGAGCATTCCCAGAATCTGGGCCACCTCCACGCTCGGTAGTAGAAAGACCAGGAACTCGCCGATGTACGCTTGCAACAACACTTGCAGTGACACGGTGAGCCAGAACGTGAGGAAGTCTCCGAAGCCAGTGAAGCCCACCATGGGGTAGAACGTGGCCATGAACAGCAGCACGGCCAGGAACGTGTACGGGATCTCGGCCACACTCGACCCGAAGAAGTACCAGAACGCGTTGTACGTCTGCGCTGCTCGCTCACGGTAAAAGACCGCGCGTTCTTGCGACGCGACGGGCAAGGCGCTGTTGAATGACCCGATTCCGAGGAACCCCACGGCCAGGTACATCATGCCCATACCCGAGTTGATACCCGAGTAGGAAGTGTACTCGGCGCCGACGTACGTAACACCGAAGACGAGACCCAGCACCAATGACACGAAGAATCGAGTCAAGTTAAACGACGCGGTGCGCCAGTACAGGTTGAAGAAGCGCTGCATGAGGAACTTCATCTGGGTCGTCTCTGTCGCAGCTCGCTTGTCACTGTACGTCAGCTCAGGGAAATCTGGCGACGGACGAGTCACACCGTCACGATCCAGGTTCGACTGTAAGAAATCAAAGTGTTTGCTGGCCTGGAAGACCTTGACGAAGTCCGTCTTGTCGCCATTGCTGTTGCCCACGCCGGCACCGATCACCTCCAACATCCACGTCGCAGGGTTGTAGTTTTCCTCTAGTCTCGTCACACCATTGATCGACTCAAAATACGCAATCATCTCACACGCATTTTTGCCAAGTTCACCGGCAAACACCGTCTCGCCGCCACGCTTCAGTAGTAGGAGACTGTCGTACACAATAAACACCTCCGTCGACGGCTGGTGAATCGTGCACACCACGGTACGACCCGTGTTCGCCACCTTCCGGACGGCGTCAATCATGGACTTGGATGAGTGAGCATCAGTGCCGATCTGTGGGGATCGAGGAAAAGTACAACCAGAAGCGCTGAACGATGCGGGTTGAGGCAATTGGTTGCATCATTCTGGGAGCGACCATGATTGATCTGGTCGGCGATCGGGTGCAAGTCCAGCAATTCCAAACACTCGTTCACCGAGTCATACTTGAAGCTGTCGGGCACATCGGCTCCTTGACGCAGGAACGCACTGAACGTGAGCGCCTCGCGGATAGTAGACGAGTCGGAGTGGATGTCCATCTGCTCGCAGTAGCCCGTGGATCGACGGATAGCCAGGTCAGTGGCCGGGTAGCCATTCAGCAGAATCTGGCCGGCGATCTTGCCTCCAGTCTTCCGTCCGGCGATGACGTCCATAAGCGTCGTCTTACCGGCACCGGACGAGCCCATTAGTGCCGTGATGGTACCGGGTAGAGCGTATCCGCTGATACCCTTGAGCAGGTCGATGGTTTCCTTGGGGTTAGCCGGGTCCGGAACGGTGTACCACAGATCCTTGAACGCAATAGTAACAGGCACGAAGTGCTTCTCCGTGTCGGCAGCGACCGAGACCACGGCGTCGCTTTCGTTGGGCGAGCTGCGAGGGGTATTCATCAAGCTGAAGTTGTCCGACGCAGTGTTCTTGTCCTCCGAGTCGAGCGTGACATTCTCGGGACTCTCGTATCGGTGGAACTCCAGCGCAAGATACGACAGGAACATGAAGAAAACGTACGCGGCCGCCATGAACACGATGCCGTACCAGAGCCAAAACATCTGAGTCGGCACCTCGAACGTACTGAGCGAGTAATCGCCGACGGTCTGGTTGAAGTTTTCACAGAAGTTGATGTCGCCGTAGACGCACGTGTCGAACGTTGAGTCACGGTACTGGTTGACAGCCAGAGCACGCACACACCAAGCGATGGGGTTGATCCAGTAGATCCAGATGAGATAATCGGGGATTTGATCCTTGGTGATGACGAAGCCTCCGAACAGGATGAAGAAGAGGATCGAGACGCTGGAGATGGGGTTGGCCACGCTGAAATTCGGCGCGGCGGAGCCCAAGAAGAAGAAAAAGGCCGTGCAGGCGAGGTTCGTGATGCTCAGCATGATGAGGAACAGGATGAAGGCCCCAATCGTGTCCACGAAGCCACACATCCAGTACACGATGGAGCCGAACACGATACTCTCCAGTAGAATGGGAGGCAGTTGACTGGCAGAGCTCGAAAGCACGTACGATGCCGTTCGGAAGAAGTTGGCGCCGCGCTGCTTGTAGAACACATCACGAGCAGCCATGACGGTAGGAATCTGAGCTGACTGACCCAGCGACAGACACAGCACGGAGGCGAAAATGACGCCCATGACCAGCTGAGCATTGGTGGGGTCGAACTGGTAGAAGACGCTGGAATACAACAGTCCCATGATGGTGTTCATGAGCAGGCGGCCCACGAGTGCGGCCGAATCACGCAGTGTGACTCGCATCTGCCGCTTCATGAGCAAGGCGGTGCTGTCCCAGAAGTTCAGGTGGAACTCTGGCTGAGCGTTCATATGCAGCTCCTTGTCGTGGACGAGACCAGGGTGGACGGGACTCTCGAGATCAACGAGCAGTTGGTGGTAGATGGACGAGCGCCGGAAAGCGTCGGCAAAGTCACTCGACGTACGTGGAATGCTGACGCCTGGAGCGACTTGGACCTGATATTGAGACTGTTTGCTGGTTCCAAGATCCAAGAGGAAGTCGGCGACGTCGCGACGAGGAGGACACTTGAAGCCCAGACTCTCGAAGTAGCCCAAAGCCTCAGCACGAGGACCGTGGTACATGACGTGGCCCTCGTTCAGGATCACCACGTCGTCGAACAGGTCGAACACCTCAGGCGACGGCTGCAACAACGAGATCACGACCGTCTTGCGGAACTTCTTGGCGATACTGCGCTGTGTGGTGATGATGTCGAAGGTGGCGGCACTGTCCAGACCCGTGCTGATCTCGTCCATCAAACTCACGTACTTGTTGCCAAACTCCATCTCGCCCGTCGTCACACGCTTCCGTTCTCCTCCAGACACACCACGGGTCATGGCGTCACCGACGATGGTGTTCTGACAGTTGTCGAGTCCAAGCTGCTGGATGACGATGTCTGGGTAGTGCTTGAACATGGCTCTGGCGGCATCCAGAGCGGCCTTGTTCTCCTCGAGTGTACCGTTGGCGAAGTGCTGTTCATCTCGCTTCGATAGACCGCCACCGCAACAGGCGTGTGCGAACTGAAGCGTCTCTTTGACTGTTAGCAGCGAGTAGTGCTTGTCTCTCTGTGTCACGTACGATACGAACTGCGGGAGGTGCTTCTGCATGTCGTTGGCCGGTGTGCCATTGTACGTGACCTGTCCGTCTACGGTGATGTTCTTTTCGACGGGAAACCGACCGCTGAGCAGCTTCATGAGCGAGGACTTGCCGGATCCGGGCTGGCCGAGCACCAGCGTGATCGTACCGGGTTTGAAGACGCCGCTGACGTTCTTGAGCACCTGTTTCTTGACGACGTGCTTGCTGGATCGCATTTCACGGAAACCGGTCTTGATGACGTTGATCAGCGTTGGCAGCTCGACTGTGGCGTCGGTCTCGTTCTTGACCATGATGTCGGCCGAGATGGAGACGTCTCGGAATCGCACCTCCATCTGCGGGAGGCTCTTGCCCAGAGCTTTCTCCATACGGGAGGCGACGTGGTCGTGCAGCGCTTGTGGTCCCTGTGCCATGAGGGTCTTGCCGTTGTCGTATTCGATGGTGGCACGCATGGGCGGGTCAGACGCATTTTGATCCATGTTATATAGCAGCGAGTGTGTCCCAGCTAATGAGGTACTTCGTAGTAATAATTCGTGAAGAAAGGAGAGATCGTGTCGCTGGCTGGACTCAAATTGCGAAGTGATCGGCTACTGTATCGTTGTTAAAACGGTTGCTGCGTTGAGCATATACATTTTCGTGGCTGGCTGAGCTTTCAGATTTTGTTTATGCTTGGGGTCCAAAGGATAAGAGCCTGCACGGATTGATATCCCGGGTGTAATTGATGACTATAAAACACCGTTTGCAGTGCTTGACTGGAGATCCCACCAGTAAAAAAAATAACCGATGTAACTTAATATGAGTGTTTTACTGGCTCTAATTGCTGGCTGAATTTTGAAGTAAGCTTTTTGCTTACGGCAGTGGGACGTGACCAATCAGAGGCATGCTCAGATTATGGGACGGGAATCAACGACCATCACTCCGAAAATGTTGATTCCCGGGCTACCCAAATAAAAGTCACGCAAAAGGACGCTTATACACTGTATAATATACAGTAGTTGGCCTTGAGTACATGCTACTTAAGCCAACTACCCGTACTGATATTAATAGTAGCAGAGCAGAATACATGTACAATGCCAACTTACAGTACATGCAGCTACAACGACGACTGTATTGGATCCGGTTGCTACTTCTCATATTATTAGTAGCTGAAGGTCCAAATGATCACTTCGCAGCGTTAAACCCGACACATGAACCTCATCGCTGGACAGTACCGTAGAGCTGACAGCTCTATTATTAGCGCATCAAGGCTCGAGGTCCTGGAGCCACAAGTACTATGGACTGTACTAAGTACTGTACCGGGACTGTCCATGCACAGTCTGATGCCAGCGTTGTAGGAATCAACATGCTCGGAGTGATGAACGTTGATTCCCTGCAGTTTTATCAGTGGCCACATTTCTAATGATCATTAGTTACAGCAAAAAATGCACTTACGAAAATTCGTCAAAACACTGCATCAACGTATTTCGTACAGTAGTACATGTACTAAAGATGACGACAGCTATCGTATACACGATGATATTAGCTATTTAATAGCGCAAGTAAATGTGTAAAGCAGGAAAAGAAGTTCTCTGAGGATTCCTCCCGACCGTCGTAAACAAAAACACCACAAAGATCGGCCAGCCAAATTGTGCACACTTACAACGCTGCAACCGTTTTACAGGGTAACAGCAGCTCCGATTAATCGACCACTTTGCAAATTAAGTCCAGCCAGCGACATCAACTCTTCCAAGTTACTTCACGGACCGCAACAGCAGGGAGCACACTTGCCGCTATAAAACATGGCTCAAAACGCGTCTGACCCGCCCATGCGTGCCACCATCGAATACGACAACGGCAAGACCCTCATGGCACAGGGACCACAGGCGCTGCACGACCACGTCGCCTCCCGTATGGAGAAAGCTCTGGGCAAGAGCCTCCCGCAGATGGAGGTGCGATTCCGAGACGTCTCCATCTCGGCCGACATCATGGTCAAGAACGAGACCGACGCCACAGTCGAGCTGCCAACGCTGATCAACGTCATCAAGACCGGTTTCCGTGAAATGCGATCCAGCAAGCACGTCGTCAAGAAGCAGGTGCTCAAGAACGTCAGCGGCGTCTTCAAACCCGGTACGATCACGCTGGTGCTCGGCCAGCCCGGATCCGGCAAGTCCTCGCTCATGAAGCTGCTCAGCGGTCGGTTTCCCGTCGAAAAGAACATCACCGTAGACGGACAGGTCACGTACAATGGCACACCGGCCAACGACATGCAGAAGCACCTCCCGCAGTTCGTATCGTACGTGACACAGAGAGACAAGCACTACTCGCTGCTAACAGTCAAAGAGACGCTTCAGTTCGCACACGCCTGTTGCGGTGGCGGTCTATCGAAGCGAGATGAACAGCACTTCGCCAACGGTACACTCGAGGAGAACAAGGCCGCTCTGGATGCCGCCAGAGCCATGTTCAAGCACTACCCAGACATCGTCATCCAGCAGCTTGGACTCGACAACTGTCAGAACACCATCGTCGGTGACGCCATGACCCGTGGTGTGTCTGGAGGAGAACGGAAGCGTGTGACGACGGGCGAGATGGAGTTTGGCAACAAGTACGTGAGTTTGATGGACGAGATCAGCACGGGTCTGGACAGTGCCGCCACCTTCGACATCATCACCACACAGCGCAGTATCGCCAAGAAGTTCCGCAAGACGGTCGTGATCTCGTTGTTGCAGCCGTCGCCTGAGGTGTTCGACCTGTTCGACGACGTGGTGATCCTGAACGAGGGCCACGTCATGTACCACGGTCCTCGTGCTGAGGCTTTGGGCTACTTCGAGAGTCTGGGCTTCAAGTGTCCTCCTCGTCGCGACGTCGCCGACTTCCTCTTGGATCTTGGAACCAGCAAACAGTCTCAATATGAGGTCCAAGTCGCTCCAGGCGTCAGCATTCCACGTACGTCGAGTGACTTTGCCGACGCTTTCCGGCGCTCGTCCATCTACCACCAACTGCTCGTTGATCTCGAGAGTCCCGTCCACCCTGGTCTCGTCCACGACAAGGAGCTGCATATGAACGCTCAGCCAGAGTTCCACCTGAACTTCTGGGACAGCACCGCCTTGCTCATGAAGCGGCAGATGCGAGTCACACTGCGTGATTCGGCCGCACTCGTGGGCCGCCTGCTCATGAACACCATCATGGGACTGTTGTATTCCAGCGTCTTCTACCAGTTCGACCCCACCAATGCTCAGCTGGTCATGGGCGTCATTTTCGCCTCCGTGCTGTGTCTGTCGCTGGGTCAGTCAGCTCAGATTCCTACCGTCATGGCTGCTCGTGATGTGTTCTACAAGCAGCGCGGCGCCAACTTCTTCCGAACGGCATCGTACGTGCTTTCGAGCTCTGCCAGTCAACTGCCTCCCATTCTACTGGAGAGTATCGTGTTCGGCTCCATCGTGTACTGGATGTGTGGCTTCGTGGACACGATCGGGGCCTTCATCCTGTTCCTCATCATGCTGAGCATCACGAACCTCGCCTGCACGGCCTTTTTCTTCTTCTTGGGCTCCGCCGCGCCGAATTTCAGCGTGGCCAACCCCATCTCCAGCGTCTCGATCCTCTTCTTCATCCTGTTCGGAGGCTTCGTCATCACCAAGGATCAAATCCCCGATTATCTCATCTGGATCTACTGGATGAACCCCATCGCTTGGTGTGTGCGTGCTCTGGCTGTCAACCAGTACCGTGACTCAACGTTCGACACGTGCGTCTACGGCGACATCAACTTCTGTGAAAACTTCAACCAGACCGTCGGCGATTACTCGCTCAGTACGTTCGAGGTGCCGACTCAGAAGTTTTGGCTCTGGTACGGCATCGTGTTCATGGCGGCCGCGTACGTTTTCTTCATGTTCCTGTCGTATCTTGCGCTGGAGTTCCACCGATACGAGAGTCCCGAGAATGTCACGCTCGACTCGGAGGACAAGAACACTGCGTCGGACAACTTCAGCTTGATGAATACCCCTCGCAGCTCGCCCAACGAAAGCGACGCCGTGGTCTCGGTCGCTGCCGACACGGAGAAGCACTTCGTGCCTGTTACTATTGCGTTCAAGGATCTGTGGTACACCGTTCCGGACCCGGCTAACCCCAAGGAAACCATCGACCTGCTCAAGGGTATCAGCGGATACGCTCTACCCGGTACCATCACGGCACTAATGGGCTCGTCCGGTGCCGGTAAGACGACGCTTATGGACGTCATCGCCGGACGGAAGACTGGAGGCAAGATCGCCGGCCAGATTCTGCTGAATGGCTACCCGGCCACTGACCTGGCTATCCGTCGATCCACGGGCTACTGCGAGCAGATGGACATCCACTCCGACTCGTCTACTATCCGCGAGGCGCTCACGTTCAGTGCCTTCCTGCGTCAGGGAGCCGATGTGCCCAACAGCTTCAAGTATGACTCGGTGAACGAGTGTTTGGAATTGCTGGACTTGCACCCGATCGCCGACCAGATCATCCGTGGCAGCTCCGTGGAGCAGATGAAGCGATTGACTATTGGCGTGGAGCTGGCAGCTCAACCGAGTGTGCTGTTCCTGGATGAGCCGACGAGTGGCCTGGACGCTCGCTCTGCCAAGCTCATCATGGACGGCGTCCGGAAGGTGGCGAACACGGGTCGTACCGTGGTGTGCACGATTCACCAGCCGTCGACGGAGGTGTTTAGTGTGTTCGACAGTCTCCTACTACTGAAGCGTGGTGGCGAGACGGTGTTTGCCGGTGAACTTGGCAAAAATGCGTGTGAGATGATTGCGTATTTTGAGTCGATCAATGGTGTGACGAGACTAGAGGAAAACTACAACCCTGCGACGTGGATGTTGGAGGTGATCGGTGCCGGCGTGGGCAACAGCAATGGCGACAAGACGGACTTCGTCAAGGTCTTCCAGGCCAGCAAACACTTTGATTTCTTACAGTCGAACCTGGATCGTGACGGTGTGACTCGTCCGTCGCCGGATTTCCCTGAGCTGACGTACAGTGACAAGCGTGCTGCGACAGAGGCGACCCAGATGAAGTTCCTCATGCAGCGCTTCTTCAACCTGTACTGGCGCACCGCGTCGTTTAACTTGACTCGATTCTTCGTGTCATTGGTGCTGGGTCTCGTCTTCGGTGTCACGTACGTCGGTGCCGAGTACACTTCCTACTCGGGTATCAACTCGGGTATGGGCATGATGTACCTGGCCGTGGGGTTCCTCGGAATCGGGTCATTCAACAGCGCCTTGCCCGTCGCGTCGCAAGAACGCGCGGTCTTTTACCGTGAGCGAGCAGCGCAGACGTACAACGCGTTCTGGTACTTCTTCGGGTCGAGTGTGGCCGAGATCCCGTACACGTTCCTGGCCGTGCTGCTGTTCATGGCCACGTTCTACCCCATGGTGGGCTTCACTGGCTTCGGAGACTTCCTCACGTTCTGGCTCACCGTGTCACTGCAAGTGTTGTTGCAAGCGTACATCGGCGAGTTCCTGGTCTTTCTACTACCGAGCGTGGAGGTGGCCCAGATTCTGGGAATGCTCTTGGCTCTGATCTGTCTCCTGTTCATGGGCTTCAGTCCTCCGGCCGGTGACCTCCCGACGGGCTACAAGTGGCTGTACCACATAACTCCGCAGAAGTACACGATGGCGGCCATGTCCACGATTGTGTTCGGCAACTGTCCTAGCGACGGCGATGGAAGCGAAGTCGGGTGTGAGCAAATGACGAACGTGCCGCCGTCTCTTCCTTCGGGTCTCACGGTGAAGGATTACTTGGAGGACGTCTTCCTAATGAAGCACAGTCAGATCTGGCGCAACTGTGCCATCGTGCTCGCGTTCCTGGTCTTCTTCCGCGTGCTCACGCTTCTAGCCATGCGCTTCGTGAATCACCAGAAGCGGTAGTTCTATCATGGAAAATAATCTTTCGAGTATGCTCAGTTCTCATTGTGAAAACATTTCATTCAAGTTTACATTTTACGTTTTTAAAAGAAACTTTTGCTTTTTCAAAGTTGTGAAAACACGAAAAATGTTTTTGTCAATTCGACTTAATTGTTTTTAGAAAGCAATTCTACAACGTTTTAAAAGTGATAAAGTTGTAGGTTTCCTAAAAAGTTTATTTTTTCAGATTTTTATTTTAACAGAAACAAATATAACTTTGTAGCGAGCGATGTGCTGATTTCAGTCAAAAATTGTTTTATTAAATGGATTGTTTTGACTGTTTTATTCAAATTGCTCAGCTATTTTTTTTTACTGAAACACTACATTATTTCTTTTTCACATTACCTTCTTTCTGTGACCCCTTCACTAGCACTAGACATGCCATTCTCCAAATCAGCTACCGATGTCCAGGCGCTCGAATCTGTATCGTCATCGTGGCCAAGCGACTGGTAATTGAAACGAGACACACTCATCGCGACTATTGTCAATGCACCGCCAGAGACCCAACACAGCCCAGGAACGGACAGAACCCACACGTTGAACATGTGAGGGTACAGGTAGCTTCCTCCGACGGCTGCCATACGACTGACACCAACAGCGTACCCGATTCCTCGTCCGCGATGGGTTGTGTTGAAGTGTCCTGGAGTGTAGGCCAGGACACAACTCCAGCACGCTGACAGTAGTGCAGTCACAACAAAAGTGACGGCAATGACCACCGCACGTGACCAAGTCACGTAGCTCAACACAACCGAGAAAATAGCTGCCAGTGTTGCGAACGCAGCGAAGCACCGGTGAAATCCGAAAGTGTCGAATCCTATCGCTGCGGCGACAGAACCAACTGTTTGAGCGATTTTCAGCGCTCCAATCGTACTCCAGTTCTCGAATAAGTTGTATCCGCTGAGACTGATAAGCGTCGGGATGTAGATGCCCAGTGTGTAGGATGACAGGGTCATAGCAATCCACAGCAACCACACAGCCGACGTGCGGATCAGCCGTTTGAGGAACGAAGGCTTGGTCACTGACGACGATGGAGATTCCAGAGTAGACGAAAAGTTGAGCTCCGTCTTCTGGGTATTACCGTGCGAATGCTCGATCTTTTCCACAATAGCACAAGCCTCGTCCGTGCGCCCAACACTAGCAAGCCAACGCGGCGACTCTGGAACACTGAAGCGCAGCACAACTGCGAACAGCACAAGTCCACACGTTGCTAGGTACGTTGTGCGCCATTCCAAGCGTGACGCCACGGCGAAAGCCAAAACCACACCGAACAACCCACCAACACCCGTGAAAGCGTCAAGCAACGACACCAGGCGGCCACTCATGGACCGAGGAGATAATTCTTGAGCTAAAACTACTGTCGAGCCGAGCTGTCCACCAAAGCCAACACCAGAGACAATGCGACCGACAATCAGCATGTTCCCGGCGTTCGCGCGAGCCGACACTGCAAGGCCTCCCAGCGAGAACACCATCGCAATCATAATTGCTATTCGACGTCCAAATTGGTCTGCAATGTGGCCAAAGATTGGGCCTCCAGCAATTGAGCCCATGAAGATGCTGGCTGCATAGACCCCGAGGACCTGGGTCGACATTCCGATGTCGTTGCCAACGAGTCCTCGCGTAAAGTCGAGCAGGACAAGTTGCGCCGCTTGAACCGCCCAGCTCATGCCCATAGCCAGCAGTAGACGAACGTAGAACCATGATAAACGAGGCTCGAGTGCATTGAGTCGAGCGTCGACGGACTTCTGAAGCTTTCGAGGAGCGACGGGCAGCGAGTTTTGCTGGGCAGTTGGGGACTCGACAGCTTGATACCGCATGGTGTGAAGCGGCCGGTTGGTTTTCGGAACCAATTCGAAAACTGAGAATACGAAGCAATGCGCTATGCTTGCGGTTACAGGTACCGCGTCAACACTCAACGGTTTGGATCGTGATGATTTACTGGACACGCTCGGGAGTCCAACAGCGTGGACAGTCCAGCAGATCTCCATCATCATTTTTAATCGAGGTGCGACAGATTTTCACATCCTAGTGGCACACTGTCCGACTCCAACTCGAACTTCAGTGGCAGACGTTGAAGTTTCTGCTACCGGTAACGTGACGTTCATGGAATGAGCGATGGATTACCCTAATAAACTACACGTAGATTGGCGAGTTAACACACTGAGCACAAAACAAAAATGGATAGTCATAGTTCCGTGATTTATTTAAAGCGATCAACATCTTTTGTGCGTCTGCGATTTCTTGGCATGAGCTTACTTGATTTCGCCAGGATGTTGACCCACGAGAGGGCCATCTTCCTTTTCGTGATCGGCTCCTAATTCCAGGTCCGTATCAGAGTCCATTTCGTCGCTGTATCTATCTTTAAAAGGATCAAAGCCGTAGGGAACTACAACTCCGAGGACCGTAGCAGCTAATAGTCCAGCAAATACCCACGTAATAGCAGGCACCGACATGAGCCACACATCGAACATGTGAGGATAGAGTAGTGCACCACCGGTGGCTCCTAAACGGCTAAAACCAAACGCGTAGGCCACCCCACGGGATCGTACAGCCGCGTTGAAAGTTTCAGGTGTGTAGGCGAGCACACAGCTCCAGGTTCCAGCGAGTAAAGCGGACACGGAGCAAGTCCCAATGATCACTACGAACCGGTTCCACGGCATATAGCTCAGTAGCACGGCAGCCATCGACGCTAAAGTAGCGAAACAGCCAAGCGACTGCTTGCGACCTCTAGCCTCCAGCATCCACGAAGCTGCGATGCAGCCGAGTATCTGGGATCCATGTAACAACGCAATGGTATTCCATCTTTCGTACATGTTAAACCCAGACATACTAATCAGTGTCGGGATGTATACCCCCAGAGCGTAGGATGACACCGCCATTACAGTCCATAACGTCCACAGGACCAGTGTATGCACAAATCTGTTGGATAGCAACTTCACTCGTGGAAGTGAAGAAGAACACACCGGAGTGGCAGCATCTTGCACCTTGAGATTATTGTATCGTGTTCGTGCTCCATGAACTCGTTCCAGCTTCTCCACGACGCGCAGAGCTTCGTCCGCTCGGCCGACACTCGCCAGCCACCGCGGTGATTCTGGAATACCAATGCGCAGCACTCCCGCGTACAACACGCAGCCACAGATTGCCAAGTAAGTCGCTCTCCATCCGAGCTGAGGCGCTAGACCGAAGGCCAACGCTACACCGATTACACCGCCTACACCCGTGAAAGCCTCAAGTAAAGCTACCATGCGACCTCGCATGGATCTTGGCGCCAATTCTTGTACTAAGACCGTAGCAGCTGGGAGCTCTCCACCAAGTCCAATACCCGCAACAATTCTCGCTCCGATTACATGGTAGTCTCTCTTTGCCATGGCTGACAATGCCAGACCCGCTAGCGATAGAGTCATGGCGAATAACAGAGCCGAGCGTCGACCGCGCGCATCTGCGAGAATACCGAAGAGCGGACCCCCTACAGCAGCTCCAAGGAAGACACCGATGCCGAGAGCTTCCAGCGCGTACGTCCCCATACCAACGTTGTGGGCGACGAGGCGGCGAGTAAAGGTGAAGAGAACAAACTCAGCGCCATGCACCGCCCAGCTCACCCCCGTTAGCAGCAGTAGACGAACGTAGAACCACGAAAGTCGAGCATCCAGAGCATCGAGGCGTTGGTGAACGATACTCGATCCAGTTGACTCCATGCAAGCGGCTTTGAGATTGAGGCGTCTCGGAGTTTGACGGTGTCATTGATAATTAAAAACTGATAGAATATGACTGTACCGTTAGACATACCCTTTATCATAGCTTCAATTCGAGCGCCTAACCTTGAAAATGCTACAATGCTCCAGCGTGCATACTAAATTCTACCCGGTAGCAGGCAAATGGGCCAACCCACGTCGCGATTCGCGAATCAACTGTAAAGAATACAGTATCCGCAGTCTTTTAGCAAGGTAATTCGTACTGCTACTTATAATATCGTGAAGGATGCAAAAAAAAATATCGATTGAGTCGAGGTATACCAACTTGCTGTCGTGACTGTATCGAGTGTCTCCAATCTGGGAAGATTTGCACATAGATTGCACTCCGCAAGTACATGTAAACACTAGCGAGGCTTTGTTTACGGGGTACATGTATCTGTACAGACCGGAGCATGTGTTTTAATAGCTTGGCTCGTACACGTACTCCACGGCAATGCCACTACACATATGTAAGCTTAGTTCATTCATATCTGTCGTCCTCCACACGCAGCATCTGTACAAACACGAGCCATGCTATCCACTACTTGCTCTAGTCACGGAAAATAATTATCGCAATAATGTCCGTGAGCAGCAGCGTAACGTGAAGTCGATTATGTGGTAGTACTACTGGTACATGCCGACAGGCTCAAGAGTGTCCAACGATAACGTCGGGAGCTGCACTCGTGCTTGCCGACTTTTTCCAACATCTTGATCCGGTTCCAGCAATATTCTGGTTAGTAATTTAACGCGACAACTAGTACAGCAGCAGTCCGTGAGAGTGTTGATATTAATACCGGTGAAGGAGCTTGTTCATTCGTGTTCACTCCGTGTCCAACGCCATGCGACCCCATCAACGCGGTAACTCTTGTACACTTTTTGCCGACAGTGTATGATGATCCATGAGCGTTTTTGTTCAAAGGAGGATTTGGGCTCCAAATCGGACCCTTTCCCGAACACATCACATCCAGAGCAGCCATTTCCAAACTTCCACGCTGCGTGCGACTTGCTGTCACCACTACTATGAGATTCGTTTCAACGCTGTTGGCTGCGCTTGGAATTGTAACATCCACGGCGCAGAAGGCGCCGATCCAGGCCCGCAATAGCTCGGACGACACTTCGCTGGTGTTCAAGATCCTTCAACTGGCCGATCTCCACATCACCGGTATCCCGACCGTCGGCTGCGGCACCAGCGTGCCGGTGGGAATGGCCAGCCAAAACTGCTCGGAGGCGCTCATGTACGCGTTCATGGAGCAGTTGCTGGATGTAGAAGAACCTGACTTTATCGCGTTCACGGGCGACAATGTGCAGGTGTACGGCCCCAGCACGCACCAACGAGCCGTTGATGCCCTCACAAGAGCGGCCGAGGAGCGCAACATTCCGTACGGAATAGTGTTTGGCAATCACGACTACGAAGGAGATTTTCCTCGAGAGAGGTTTGTCGAGATGGTGTCTGAGAAAAACCACTCGTACATGGTGAGCGGACCGGAAGCCGTGGACGGCGTTGGCAACTACATGCTCAATGTGACGGCGCCACTTGCCGGCGCCTGGGGGGACCAAGGGGACACCGTATTCCGCATGTACTTCTTGGACTCGGGGGCTAATGCGCTCACTGACAAGTACCCGTACGTGTTCTCTCAGTACGACTGGATCAAGCAGAGTCAGATCGACTATTACCGCCAAATGTCGGAGACTGGACGCGTGGAGCGACACAGTCGATCCGACACGGTGTTGCCTGCAGTCATGTTCTTCCACATCCCGCTGGTCGAGTTCGCGTACTCGGAGGACGGCTGCAACGGCGAGAAGAACGAGTTGGTGCATGACCAAGGCATGAATCTACGCTTGCTGTCCACATTGTCGGACATGAATGAGGTCAAGGCGGCGTTTGTGGGCCACGACCACGTGAACGAGTACTGCTGTCTAGTAGACGGTGTGCAACTCTGTTACGGAGGCGGTACAGGCTTCGGACGTGCGTACGGCGCCTCCGATTTCTCTCGCCGGGCGCGAGTGATCCAGTGGACGGTAGATAGCAACGAGCGTCACGAAATCCGCAGTTGGAAGCGGCATTACGATGACATTAGCGTCATACATAGCGAGGAAGTGCTGTATTCAGAGCTGTAACTACCACTTGCATAATTATTCAACGAGCTAACGCCCCTATCAATGCGCGACCATGCTTGTAAGAGCACCAACAAAAAGTCTCCATCCTGCAGCTTTTCAGAAAGCAAGATTGAACTTGGATTACGGACAGCAAATCACGGCCGCCGGTTCCTTCGGACGGATCTGCTGGCGACGTTCCACTTAACGTCGGACGCGGCATGTCGGCTGCGCATATTCATCGCCGCCTCGATTCTTTAGACGCGCGTCTCTCTTGGTTCTATGCCCGTCTTCTCCTGCTCACAGGTATCAGCTGGGCCGTGCACACAGCCGAGCTCGTGCTCTTCTTGTTCACGCGTCAGCTCGTGGCCCGCAATGTCGGGATGGGCACCCGCGCTCTGGAAGCTCTAGGCGTCGGTATATTCGTCGGCGCGGCGATAGGCGGGCCGCTATTTGGTTATCTAGCAGACACTCGAGGACGGCGGTCGGCTCTGCTGATGGCAATGGCATTGTCACTGACGGGTCTATTGTTGTCGGCCCTCGCGACCAGGCACTACCAGGTCATTATCGCGCGGGTGGTGGCTGGCGTCGGACTCGGCGGTGAACTGCCGGCCGCCACAGTACTGGTACAGGAATTGTCGCCACGGGCGATGCGAGGCCGCATGGTGGCGCTGTTAGAAGCCTTTACCGGTGTTGGTGGAGTTCTGGGCGTGGCGTTGGCCTTCGGGTTGGCGCCGCAGATTGGATGGAGAGCCACGTACGTAATTATCTGCGGGTGTGTACTGTACGTAGCTGTGCTGCGCTTCGGCGTCCCCGAGTCTTCACGTTGGCTCGCGAGTGTTGGACGAGTGGATGAAGCGTTAATGCTGGTGGAGAAGGTGGAGAAGGCACACGGGAAGCGCGCGTCATTCGCGGTGCAAAGCGAGTCGGTGGCACAGATGCCGGTGACTATAAAGACGCTGTCGTTGTCGACGAGAACGCTGGAGATTTGGTCACTGTGGGCGGTGGTGGCGTTGTCTGCGTACGCATTGGGCACGTACGTCCCGACGCTCATAAGTTTGTGGGGGTTCAACGTATTCTCAAGATGGAGTTCGATGGTGCTTATAGGTCTGGCTCAAGTGTTTGGGTGTCTACTAGTGTCGTTGGTACTGGACGACTATGGCCGGATGCAGACCTTGGCGTGTGTTGCCTCTTCAGCGGCAGTGGTCACGGCTCTGACGAGCCACGCGCCGTGGAGTGGTCCTTTTGTTGTTGTGGGAGTTTGTCTAGTCTCCGCTTTATTCGCTGCAAGCTGGAGTTGTATCCTAGTGTACGCACCGGACAGTTTTGCTACAGGAGTCCGCGGCCGCGGTGTGGGCTATGCGTTCGGCTTCTGTCGCTTAGGTGCCACCGTCGGGTCCTTGCTGTGCCCTCACATGTTCAATGTGTGGGTAATGTCAGTGCCGGCGATTGCCCGGGCTTTTGCTGTACTGCTGATTGCAGTAGTCGTTGCAGCTGCCTTTATGCATGAACAACGGTACATGTACTTGAAAAATGAAGATCACGACGGTACGGCGGACTCACGAAATGTGAACGGCTCACGAGGTCTCAAAGGGACAGAAGAAGGTACTCCACTCGTTTCGAGCAGCAATTATACGCGGCATACTGCGACCTACAACTCTTAGCCCGTATCTAAAACAAGATTCCCTCTTCGTGCGAAGTGTCAGAAAACGCAAGAGCACATAAGATTATAGCGGCAAATTCGACGACGGTGCGGTATGGAGTACAGGAATTGCTCTGGAAGAATATCTCACTAGTTTTCCATATTTTGAGCACCAGATGCATATACGACGAACGTCAAGGACTCTACCGACTCTGGCAAACAATTACATTTGTGCACAGAAGGTCGACACGAATGGAACTCTGCGTGTAGCACCCCAGCGACTATCGCATCAAAGAGAAAACCGGTTAACTTCAACCTACTGTCGTCGAGCGAGCACATCATCAGTAGGGTGGTACTAGGATCTCAATAAAAGAACGTCACCGGTCTGCTGCCGGTTCCCTCTAATAGAGGATAGAGGGCCTCTATCCTCTCCTCAGCCTAAGGATCATTTCAAGTATTTGCAGCCTCGCACCACCTGAACAACTTGACGCGATGAAACTAGTGACGCAGCCCACCGACAAGCGCGACGTCGCTGTGGCCGCTGCAACGCTGGCGGCTCTTTATCTCGAGGCCAAACGTTAAGAAGGAGAACCGTAAAATGGCACATGTACCTAAGTCCACGCTGCCATTGCTAGGCAACATGTTGGACATGACCAGCAACATGCCGCGCTTCCACGACTGGATTAGCGAAGAATGCGCCGCATTCAATAACGAGCCGTGGACACTGCAGATTCCCGGTAAAGAGCCGTGGATTGTGGTGTCGTCATCTGAGTTGTTCGAGGAAGTACTTAAAACTCAAGCTGACAATTTCCTGCGTGGACCGGTGAGCCAATACCAGTCGTTCGACGTCCTAGGCAACGGCCTCTCGGTATCCGACGGTGATGCGTGGTTCTACCAGCGCAAAACAGCCAGTCACCTCTTCTCCATGCAAATGATGCGGACGGTTATGGAAGACACGGTACGTGAGAAGCTCGAAGTGTTTCTCGGTGTCTTGAACCAGTACGCCGCACGTGGCAGCCCTTTTGGCATCAAGAAAGAGCTAAGCCACTTTACCATGGACGTGTTCTCCAAGATCGGCTTTGGCGTCGAGTTGGACACTTTAAAAGACACGTTTGACCGCGAAGAGGACCACGAGTTCTTGGAAGCTTTCAATGTGGCTTCCGTGGCGTTTGGGGTGCGCATCCAAACGCCTACGTGGCTCTGGGAAATTAAGAAGTTCCTTAACGTCGGATGGGAGAAGATCCTCATGGACAGCTGCACAAAGTTCCACGATTTTATCGACAGCTTCATCTTGAAGGCAATTGAGGGTCGACGCGAGAACAAAGTGGCTCGCGACCTCATCTCGCTCTTATTAGAGAGCAGGATCGATACCTCCGAGCTGGATATAAAGGAGGACGAAGCTCAGATCATGCGGGACATGGCCATTACCTTCATTTTCGCCGGTAAAGACTCCGTCGCGCATAGTATCGGATGGTTCATCGTCAACATGAACCGATATCCGGATGTTCTGCGTAGCATTCGAGAGGAAATGAAGCAGAAGCTTCCAGGTCTCCTCACTGGAGAGATCCAGGTCCCCACCTCTGCTCAGGTCCAGGAGCTCGTGTACCTCGAGGCGGTTGTCCGTGAAAACATCCGGCTGTATCCGTCCACAGGCTTCATCATGCGTCAAGCCACAGAGGCCACCACGTTAGTTGACGGGACGTTCGTGGACAAGGAAGTGTCGATTCTCTTGCCGTCGTACGCGAACGCACGCAACCCCAGGACGTGGGGGAAAGACGCGCACGCGTTCAAACCAGAGCGCTTTCTTGACCCCGAAACGGGGAAGCTCGTTACATTCTCACCGTTTGTGTTCAGTAGCTTTGGCTCCGGTCCACACATCTGTCTTGGCATGAAGTTTGCACTCATGGAGATCAAATTGACACTTGCTACGCTCTTCAGCAAGTTCGACATAAAGACTGTGGAGGATCCGTGGACGATGACGTATGATTTCTCTTTAACGATTCCTGTCAAGGGCCCAATGGACGTCAAAGTTACCCCACTCTACATCGCTACCGCAGAGTCGGCGTAAGGTTGTACCTTTGTTAAAATAACAACGTAGCTCTCACTCTTTTTAACGTTGATATTAACAGGCTGCTAAACCAAAAAAAAAACAATTTCATTAACATGTTACCGTACAAAAACCAGAACTGCAAGGTATAACGAGGATGCATTGTAGCATAACCTGTTGGAAAACTCTACACGTTTTCGATGGGGGACTTGACCTCGACGAAGTGAGGTGACTTGGGCGGTCCGCCATGGAAGAGCGCCTCGATGTCCTCCAGCATGATGCCCTTGGTTTCCGGGCAGAAGAAGTACACGAACACGCCACAGATGCAGCACAGACCCGCGAACAAGAAGAAGACGCCGTTAATGTTCAAGTGCGGGAAGAGCTTGACCACCTCCGTCATGACGGCACCCATAGCCCAGTTGGCCGCCGTAGACAGCGTCACGCCGGTAGCGCGGATGCTCAACGGGAAGATCTCGGCCGGGTAGATCCAGCACACGGGGCCCCACGAGATGGCGAAGTTGAAGACGAAGAAAGCTGAGCCAACACAGATGAACCAGCCACCCACGCTCGGACAACCGGCATCGTCGACGTTGCCGTCGCAAATGGCAGTGAACAGGATAGCCGCAAATAGGTGACCAGTGACCATTCCGACGGCACCGATGAGCAGCAGCTTGCGACGTCCAGTAGTATCCACCCACCGCATGGCTGGAATAGTACTTAGGAAGTTGACACCCGATAGGAAGAAAGCCGAATAGATCCCGGCGTTAGTGATATCCTTAAAAATTAACGCGCCATAACTGAAAATGGGGTTAATACCCGTGGCTTGTTGCAGCACCTGGAGCGCCATCGCAATAGCCACACGCTTGAAGATAGACGGCTCGAGTAGTTCCGAGAATCCCTTCTGAGCTGCCAATTCCTCCTCGACTTGCTCGCCGATAACTGCCAGCTCGTGACCGACGTTCTCGGTTTGACGGAGACGCTTGAGGATCTTCTCGGCTTCGTCCTTGCCCTTGTGTAGGTACGTCCAGCGAGGACTCTCCGGCACGAAGAAGATACCGAGCATGACGACGATGGGAGCGGCCATAGCCACACCGTTGGTGGTACGCCAACCACGGTCACGGTTCTCGACGATGATGTTGACGACGTTGGCCAGGAAGAGACCCGTCACGACGGTCATCTGCATGAAGCCAGAGAGTAGACCACGCAGCTCCTTGGGGGCCATCTCGGCACCAAACAGAGGCAGTGAGAACGACGAGTTGCCCACACCGAAACCTTGAACCACACGAGCGATATACATGAGACCATGTTCATGTGCCTCGTTGAAGCAGACCCACGATGTGCCGACGCAGAACAGCAGACCGGCACAGAAGATGGTGGCGCGACGGCCAAGCTTGTCAGCCACGATACCGCCGATGAAGGCACCCGCGAGACAACCAAGGTTGTAGGCCATATTGTACCACACGGTGAAGTCGGTCCACTCGTGTGGCAATTCTGATGCGGAAGCGGTGCATTGCTTGTAGGTAAAGTTGTGCCAGCCCACGCAGTAGTCGTTGATGAACGAGTCCATGATGAGCATGCCCGAGGTCACACCTTGATCGTAGCCGAAGAAAAGACCGCCGAGAGCAGCGAACACGCACACGACGATAGCGTATGTGCGCGAACCTTCCGTCGGGATATCATCATCGTCGTTATGGGCGTTCACCACGACACCAGCAGCCATTGTAGACAGGAGAGAAGTGAGGACTTGAGACGAACTGACTTAGACGGAGAAAGTTGGAGAATGAAGAAAGGAGCGGTGCTGCAGCTCAGTAAAAGGCTTCACGTCGACTTGCACATGGACTTAAAGCGTGGAGGGTAATTGGCAAGTTGAAGCTTGCCGTGACAGCTTGCTTGAAGCTTGTGTTTGTACAGACCTTCTTTGCACCGAACCTTCACTTTGTCGGCGACTTAGCTGCAAACGCAGACCCGGTACTTGATTTATTTTGGAGGATGCGCGCCAATATCACGGCGATCTCAGGGTGATCATTCGTGATGCCGGCGGTGATAATTTATTGCGAATGTAAAGTGTGCAGAGTCAGCATTTTTAAACAACGAGATTGTCCATGCACTTATTAAAATAAAAACAGGTATAATACAGTACACGTTTTAATACCACCAACCGTGGTAAGGCGGCATGATCTAGATCGCCGGCACGACGCACTCGAACGAGTCCATGCATGTTTTGCCAAGCGCGTCTGCTGTCAAGCAGAAATATGTAGAATGCAAAAGATGAGAAGGGCGAGATGCAACGGTACAAAAGCTTCGCTAAAGTTTTACTGTAAATGGAGGATGGACGTGCTGCTTGGTGCCTGTGCATGTATACTGTATACTGTGGAGATTGGCGTGCCTGATCACACAGTTCTGAGGAACTTGCTTCTACTGTTACGGTATAGTATACGTGGGACGATCGTATTTTTACGCGACAGTTAGTGTATACTGCGTGTATAAGAGAGAGGGGGCTGTCACCTTCGAGGTTTCCTCCTCTGATCCTTTTCCTTCTCTGTGGGCAACAAGCTCAAGTGTTCCTGCGTTTCCTTCTCTTGTCTCGCGTTCAGCTCTACACTACTGCGGTACCCTGCTAGGTTATGAGCCCCAGCTTCTGTGTGGAGTTACCAGAGAACGTTGAGTGCAACACAGTCGAGAATGTCCAGTACGTCGCTTCCGAGTTCAAATTCTACAACTGGAGCTGCCATTCCGTCGATCGCTACTGCTACGTCGTTGATGACCTCTGCTGAAGCCACGACGACACAGATACCGGTAACTTTAGCTGCGTCTACACAAGTTGTGTCATGTGTGACGAGTGGAGTCTCTGGAGTTGTATCTACAGCTACTGCGGGAGCTGTGACTACCGGTGGAATGTCTGGTGGAGTCGCTAGCGGTGTTGCTAGTGTTCCTGGAGTTAGTGGTGGAGGATATAACGTTGGTGGCTTTAATTTTGGAGGAATTACACCAGGGCAAGGTGGATTTGGCCTGCCTCGTGTTGGCTTTGGCGCGTTGCCAGTGAAAATGGACAATGTACCTAAAATGAAAGGAAGTTTTGATCTGTATGCAGTTCACTTGCGAGCGTTTTTGACTCGGCTGAATTGTTGGAGTGTGGTTGACGGTAGTTTCGATCCGAATGATCCAGTCGAACAGATTAACTTCGCTGCCAGGGATAACATCGCCCGTGAAGCTATTTTGTCTG